TCCTTGGGTTTCCGAGGCTGTATCGCTATGGAAGTAGATTGCCTAACCTTCCTTCTGAGGAGTGGCTGGTGGGTTTGAACTGCCAGCCTTCTGGTTAGCAGTCAAGTGCCTTAGGCACAACGCTACCAGAGTTCCTGATCATATAATAACAGTATAAAAACCTATAGAGTTTCTCAGGCTGTAATCTTTATGAGAGGAGATTGCCAGGTCTTTCTCTGAGGAGCTGCTGGATGGGTTTAAACCAACAACCTTTTGGTTAGCACCCGATTGCTTAACCACTGTGCCACCAGGGCTGCTACTTTTATAACTTAAAAAGGATGATTTTTCAAAACTCAGTTGCACATAGGCTATGAAAGAAAAGTACATAAAAGCAAATCTGTGCCAGTGAAGAAAAAACCACTCCCCCATCACACCTCCTATTTTTTGTGGATGGTACAACCCTCTTCTGTCCCCCAAGCCCCAAACCATAGTTATCTCTTTCACTCCCTTATCTAGCAGATGCTAAGGCCTTTTGAGTCTTCACGCTGTCTCCGTCTCCTCTCCTCTCTGAACTACTTGAGTTTAAAGCTGCAAGGATCTTTAATGCCTTTAGGACTAAACCTACTCAGAGCAGGCTTTCCTAGCTCCAATCCCAAAGAAGACCTGTCCCTAACCCCTGAGCATGGCACCATTAGAGAGCCCTCCTCCAGATACACCCCACTCCTATCATACTGTGTCACACCACCTCTTGGCAGCCGAGTGTAGGGGTTAAAGAAACATTCTAGAGCCAGGCTGCCTAGCTTCAAATCCTGGTTCTAGCATTCACCCACAGTAAAACACTAGTCCGTTACTTAATCCCTCTGGGCCTCGGTTTCTGTACCTGTAAAATGGGGAAAGTATTAGTACCTCCAAGGTCCCTGGGTGGTGCAAACGGTTGACTCTTGACTACTGACTTAAGGTCAGCAGTTTGAACTCACCAAGCAGTGCCACGGAAGAAAGGCCTGGTGATCTACTTCCATAAAGATTACAGCCAAGAAAACCCTATGGGCAGTTCTACTCTGTAACACATGGGGTTGCCATGAGTTGGAACTGACCCAACAGACAGGTTTGGCTTTTGCAGAGCAGTACCTCCTCCTTCGTTTATTTCCATTCCTTCTAATTACCATCTAGTCAGTTCTGACTCTGAGAGACCCCATGTGTGTCAGGGTAGAGCTGTGCTCCATAGGATTGTCAATGGCTTATTTTTCAGAAGTAGATCTCCAGGCACCTCTGGATGGACTCACATGCCCAAACTTGCGGTTAGCGGCCAAGCATGTTAACCATTTGCACCATCCAGAGACTCCACCTCCTTCATACCCAAACCCAAACCAAAACCAGTTGCCAGGATGTTGATTCTAACCCATGGCAACCCCATATGTGTGTCAGTGTAAAACTGTGCTCCATAGGGTTTTCAGTGGCTGATTTTTTGAAAGTAGATCACCAGGTGTTTTTTCTGACCACCTCCTTCATACCAAACCAGCTCACTGCCATCAAGTCAATTCTGACTCATAACAACCCTATAGGGCAGAGTAGAACTCCTTCAGGGGGTTTCCAAGGCCGTAAATCTTTATGGAAGCTGATGGCCCCATCTTTCTCCCAAGGAGAACTGCTAACCTTTTGGTTAACAGCCAAATGCTTTAACCACTGTGTTACTAGAGCATCTATTTCCTTCATAGGAGCTACTCATTATTGTTGTTATGTGCTATCAAGTCAGACCCAACTCATAGCAACCCCTCCTTGGGTTTCCAAGGCAGTATCACTACGGAAGTAGATTGCCCAACCTTCCTTCCAAGGAGTGGCTGGTGGGTTTGAACCTCCAGCCTTCTGGTTAGCAGTCAAGTGCCTTAGGCACTACACTACCAATTAGTTAACATAAGTAAAGCAGAGTAGGGCCTGTATAACTTTTGCTGTTATTATCATCACCTGTCCATCTTCCCCCGCTAGCCTGGAAACCACTTAAGAAGGAGACTTGGGAAAATAATCTATTTTTCCCCCTTATTTATTATGTCTCTTGTTGTTCACTAAAATATAAGCTCCATAAGGGCAATGGTTTTGGTCTTTTTTTTTTTTTTTTTCACTTTTTAAAATTTCAATTGTGATTTGGGTAATCTTTTTTAGTCACTGGTATATCCAAGTGCCTGAGATGTTCAATAAATATTTCAATAAATATGTTCAATAAATATTTTTTTGAATGAACCAATGAATAAATGTATTTCTCAGGGGTGTGCTTCCATAACTTCTCCTTGCTCTTCAAAGGGATATGCAGGCCCCAAATAAAGGGTCTGGTGCCAGGTTGGCTTTGAAGCTGTAGCTGTTGGATTACATTATGTTTTTTAGGCACCAGGAGATGCCTCAGAAGGAAAGAGTAATGGCCTCACTTCCATGCAAAATGCCCTCCCTGCCCTGGGAATGCCTCTGATGCCAGCATCTCTTGAGTGGCTACTGGGTATGTGGGTTATGCTAGGGCTTCATGGGGACAGCATGACATGCCTGGTCCCCTTGATTAACACTACTGTCAGTCACGTCACAGTCAATCTGTTCCTAGCTATGGAGAAGGGCCGAGCTGCCCTGCCATTCTAAAGGGAGCTGCCATGCCTGGAGGAAGTCGGGGCTGGGGCACAGCCTGGGAGGGGAGGGGAGCCTGCCTGGCTTTTCCCTCCTTGCTGCACACTCCTCTCCTCCAAAGTCTGGCTGGTGTGCCCAGGCCTCTGAGCGTTGATGCCCTTTCCCCATCCCTGACAAGCCTGGGCTCTGTGGCCTTGGGAGCCCTTCCTAGGGATGCAGGATTGTGGGGGTCAGCTAGGCTCCCAATAAACTTAGGGCAGGGGGGCTGGCGCCCTCCAATTCCTTTCACCTGATGAGACTTTCATTGCCATGCTCTCCTAGCCCCTCACCTGAAATTCCCTGTCCTTTCCTCACCATCTCTCTCCATCTCACCCATTCTTCCCATATCCCTACTCCCAGGAAGCCCTCTCTGCCCCACCTTCCAGTCTTCTCTAAGCCTCCAAGCACACTGTTTTCCCATTTCCCCTAACTCCCAACTCCAGTTGGTCTAGGACCCGGATGGATACAAACAGAGGTCTGTTTGTCTAGGAGGCCTAATGATTGTCCGCAGCTTCCTTTTGCACAATTTTCAGCTCTCTGAAATGCGTGTGTGCACATCTGAGCTTCCTGAGGCCAGACTATAAGCTCCCTGAACATACACTATGGACAGGCTCCCTTGACCGCTGCTCAGCTGGAGGCACAGTACCAAGTACATAGTAAGCAGGTGCTCAATGACCACCAGCAGAACAGATCGTGGCTTTTCTGCCCAGGCCAAGTGGCAGAAAAAGGAGCTACCTCATCTCTGAGGTTAGCAACCTTTAAGAGCAGCCTGAGCATTTCCTGGGAGGGAAACAGATGTCCCTGGAAGGAAAGCCATCCACTCACCCTACCACCTCCTCCACTCCTACATATGCCCTGTCAGTGACTACTGTGGACAGGTCCAGGCAGCCCATGCCAATTCCACCAGCCAGGGCACCCCAAGATGTCTGTCTGGAGGCCCCATTGTTACAGTCTAAGTGGCCAGGAGAGGGGTCTAGCTTCGTTAAGGTGTAGGGTGGCTTCTGCTGCCTGGGCATTCCTGACAATGGGCCCTTGAGAGCTTACTCATTTGAGCTACAGCCATTACCAGGAAACCAGGATGGGTTTATTGACTTAAACCAGACCAATGTCATCTTCCAGCTCCTGTCTCACGTACCCCCAACTCTCTTGCGGCACTTAGCACAATTTGTAATTATACATTTTCTTGTATGATTATTTGATTGTCTGCTTCGCCTACAAGCCTGTCAACTCCAGGAGACTGGGTGAAGTGTGAAGAGTGTGTATTTTGTTCACTGTTGATTTCCCAGTGACTAGCTCAGTGCTTGACACATAGTAGAAATGCAATCAATATTTGAGGGCTAAGTGCTGACTTTGGTATTCTGTTCTGATGTAGGTTGTGTCATATGAGCTTCAAAGCAACCCTATGAGGTAGGCAGACATTTTAACACACATTTTACAGAAAGGAAACTGAGGGTCAGATAGGTCAAAGTTCGCCCAGACTGATGGTGCTTTTTAACCACAGAAACAGATCTGGAAACCAGGTCTGATATCTATGCTCAACAATATTTTAGAGCTATATAACAATGATGATGATGTTGACAGTGATGATAGCTAATAATGTAACAAGAGTAGGCTATGTTGTATCAAGGAACCCTAGCGGCGCAGTGGTTAAGTGCTCAGCTGTGAACCAAAAAGTCAGCGAGTCAAACCCACTAGGCTCTCCATAGAACAAAGCTGTGGTAGTCTGTTTCTATAAAGATTTACAGCCTTGGAAACCCTATGGGGCAGTTCTACTTTGTCCTATATGGTTGCTATGAGTTGGAATTGACTCAATAGCAATGAGTTTATGGGACAAACACCACTATTCTTTGCATCCCATCCTCTCACCACCTCCCATTTATAGCAATTTGGCTGGTAGAGAGTATCCCTGGGATCCTGATACCCCAGAGTATATCTGTTAGGAGTTGGGGAGGGTGGGGACCTGGTCACTTCTGATTGCATCTAGAGCCACCGTGCCCCCCCAACCTACTCATCTGCTTGTCCACTGGGAACAATAAGAAAACAGGCTGCGAGCTCCAGGCTAGAGCACCTGGATACTCTCACCTCGGTTTCCCTAGAGTCCTAGGCATACCCTCAGCCCCAAGCTAAAGAGTTTTCCACTAATGGGGATGCCAGACAGGGAGAAAGGATGGGGGGGTGGTGCTGTGAAGATAAGAAGAGGCAGAAGCTACCTCATGAGCTGGTGGGAGGGGAAGGGATAGAGCTCACCAAGTCCAAACCCTGGGACTGCCCATTGCACAAATCCAGGAGGCACCATTCATACTGATGGGAGTGTCCTTAAGCTTGGGGAAGGCACAGGTGTTCGAGGAAACAAAAGAAGAGACAGTTTCCCATCTCACCGATCATAGTCGCCATTACAGAGGGCTCTCACGGGAATGCAGAAAGTTTGCCAGACTGGGTTTAGGGTGTTCTTCATGACCTCGGTCTTGTGGCAAATGGTGAATCTGGCAAAAAAAAAAAAAGAAGAGAGGGAAAGGCTGTCAGCCCTGAGCCCAAGGGAAGCAGAATCCAGGTTAGTAGAGGAGCCAGCTGGCTAACATGTCTGCTTGCCAGACTATGGAAACTATGGTTTGATCAGGTGATAAGCCGCCAGTTGCTAACAGCATCCAGGCATAAATTAGACAGCCATGTGCCGGTGATGCTGCAGAGGGGATTCCTGTACCAGGTGGGGACCTAGGCTGGTGGGACAAGCCCTGGGGTGAGTGTTGGGAGATCTAGGTTCTAGCCCCTGCTCTGAGGCCAACACATTGTGAGACTCTGAACACCGTCTCTCTGGGCTTCCATTTCTTCATCATAAAGCCAGGAAGTTGGCCACTATCAGAGGTTCTTCACCTGAGACCTATGGAAGGACCTGTGGATGAGCCCCTGAAATCACAGGTGAAACTGAGGGTGTAAGTAATGTGTGCTTGCTCTTCCCCCTGCCTGGGACATTCTCTCCCCAGATTTCCATCTTCATGCTCATCTCCTTCCTTCCTTTAGGTCTTTACTCAAATGTCATCTCAGTGAGACCTCCCCTGACTACCATATCTAAAATTTACAACCTCCTTGTCTCCTGACTCTGACATCCCTAGTCCCTTTCCATAATTTCTTTCTGTTTCATTCATTCATTCACTTCTATCTTTCCTCTCACATGGCAGTCAAACTGCTGGGCCAGCTATTCTAAGCTATTAGCCCATTTTCCTCCCTACTTTTTCTACCTTGATCCCATTTGACATTTTGACATAGTCTATTTGTTCCTTGTTTATTATGTTTATGATCTGTCACTAAAATGTAAACTCCGTAAGGGCAGGAATTCTTGTTTTGTTTTGTTTCATCACTGGTATATCTCTGGTGCCCAGAGCAGTGCTTGGCACTCGATAGGTATTTAATAAATATTTTTTTAATGAGTCAGGGAATAAATGTATTTCTCAGGGGACAGTTTCCATAGATTTCATGGGTTTTTCAAGAGATGCTCAGTCCCCCAATTAAAGTTCCTGTCTTAAATGATCTCTAAGACTCTTCGGCTCTTCCAATCTGAATCCATGAACTGTAGAATTTGCTTTTCCCAGCTGGGCCCCAATCCAGTGCCCCTCCCCACACTATGCCCAGCTGGTCCCATCCTGGAAGACTGCTCTGTCACATGGAGGGCAGCCAGGCGCCAGAGCTGGGGTGGGGACAGGGGAGCTATCTTCCTCAGAGTCTCCTGAATCTGCCCCAGCTACATGCCTGTCTTGGAAAGGTCACCCAGCTAAGTGCCTGGGCTCTGCCTGTGCCCACACAGCCTGTGCCATTTCTTCTCTGGCAATTTTCAAGTCAAAATGTCACTCCTGTCACCGTGGCTCAGCGTTTCTCTTCTCTGCTCCTTCTCGCCCGCCTACTGAAATGTGGAGATACATGTGGGAGACCCCCCACACACACACACACCCTAGAGCTGGTGAAGGGGACAGAAATGGGGGTGGGGAAAAGGAAGAGGCCACTGCTGCCCGTGGTTGAGGCAGGAATGGAAAGCAGGAAGCGGAGGCTGAGGGGAAGTGGGGTTGGCAGAAGAGATTAAGGAGCAGTGACTGGGTCGTGATCATATTGTACAGAAGTCATAACTAGGCTCCAAAGACCTCCCACTCTGGAACAGTCACACAGACCTTCCAAAGACTCCCATCTCCCCAACTCTTCAGAACTTCCAACTTCTATCTTTCCTCTCCCATGGCAGTCAAACTTCTGGGCCAGGTATTCTAAGCTATTAGCCTAGTTTCCTCCCTACTTTTTCTACCTTGATCCCATTCCAGTCTGCTTTCTACTTCAGATCCTTGCTCAAAACTGTTTTAAGCCCATCACCAAATCACTCTCCTTCCCCTTGACTCTCCTGCTGCAGTTACTGGGGGGTGGGGCAGCCCACAGTGTCCCCAAATGGTCCCTGCTGTTGTTTTACCACTCCTCAATTCAACTTGACACCTACTCAGAGTGTGTGTGTGGGAGGGCATTACCCAGTGGAATCAGACAGATGTGGAGCATGGTCCCAGCATCACAATTTACCAGCTATGCAGTCTTGGGCTAGTGACTTTCACTCTCTCAGCCTCTCCCTCATTTGTAAAATGAGGATGATAACAACAGCTTAAGCTGCTAGGCCGTGTTCTAATTACATGTGGCCAGTGCTTGCTATGGGAGCTCTGGTGGCGTAGTACCTAAGGCATTTGACTGCTAACCAGAAGGCTGGAGGTTCAAACTCACCAGCCACTCCTCGGAAGGAAGGTTGGGCAATCTACTTCCATAGTGATATTGCCTCAGAAACCCAAGGAGGGGGTCACTATGAGTTGAGTCCAACTCATTCTAGACAGTGTGATACAGAACATTCTCGTCATCCCAGAAAGTTCTATTGGGTCAGAGGCTTGCCTAAAGTCGTTATTGTTGGGTGCTGTTGAATTGATTCTAACTCATAGGAACCCCATGTGACAATGGAACTTCCCCACAGGGTTTTCTACTCTGTAATCTTTATGGAAGCGGGTCACCAGGTCTTTCTCCTGTGGACCTGCTAGGTAGGTTTGAACCCTCAACCTTCTGGTTAGCAGCTGAACACTGAGCTGTTTGCACTGTCATGACTGAAGTTACACAGCTAATAATTAGCAGCACCCAGCCAGGGCTCACAGTCTTCATCATCACTTTATAACTCCAAGACAAGCTATTCAGATGAAATAAAAGGTAGGAGTAGCATCAGGCACCTGGCTGGTGTGCCATTTCACGGGGGGTGGGGTCCCCCAAACCCTCTACTCTCCTCTCCTCAAACTTTCAGTGACCACTCTGTTCTCCCCAGATTAGCCTCTGACATGGGCACTTGTTGGTTCAATTAGACAGTGTCCAAGTAGGGGCGCACCTCTTAGCTGGGTTTCTCCAGCTACCCTTGGTTACCCACTTGGGGAGGCCCAGTCCACACTTCAATTGAAACTCATCCCCAAATCAACTCCCATCACCCACCACCCACCACCCCCTTGTGACGAGCTCTTTGCCATTTTCAAAGCTCCAGGTTCCTTGGGCTCCACCACCAGGGAGAAGGCTATGACTTCTCTGAGCTCAGTCTACCATCTGAGTCCTGCCTGGCAAAGTCTCGCCCTGCCCTTTTGCCCCCCCCCACTTCCTCCCCCTGCATTTCCATAGCACAGCTCAGGCCTGGCGCTCGGCACCTCCCACCTGATCTCTCCGTGTCAGTCACGAGTCTCTCCCTCTTCCCCGCCCCCTCCACATCCATCCTACACTTCACACTGCTAGAACAATCATTCCCAAACACAGTTTGCAACACACCCTTTTCCTGCTCCAAAAATCCCTTCCCTCCTCCAGACCTCCTCCAGGCCTCCTCCAGGCCTCCCCTCTGAAACAAGCTCAGGGCCAACTCCAGCTCTCCCTCTCAGAAGGAGTGTGGACAATTCCATGGGTACCCAGAAGAAGACTGGGGCCTTTTCCTTCCCCCCTCAAGTCAAGTCAAAGTCAGCAGGAATTATTTAAAGAAATCCTGCTGGGAGTCCTTTGGTGAGACAAAGAATCCTTTTGTTATGCAAATGACCGTACCTAATTTCCCTGTTTTGTAAGTTCAGGTTTGAAAATCAGTTTCTCTTTGAAGTACTGCTCCCTGTGCACCCCCAATACACACACACACACACACACACACACACACACGTACACACTCCCTCCCTCCCTCTCTCTCTTTCCCTCACCTAGAATTTCAGAATCCACAGGGAACTTGGCAAAGGCCCTTCTGCCCCTGCTCCAGGCATACTTGCTTTGCACACACTGGGTCTCTAGCCTGTGTTATTCTTTTCTGCTCCTCCTCCTGCCGGTGGACTCATTTTCTCCTTCTACAAAATCTGCTTTCAAGTTCCCCGTCTGCAGCAACGTTTCTCTAATTAACCTCCCTGGCCCCGTTGCTTCCTTGTCCTGCAGCATCCCAGCATAACTGGCCACAGCCTCCCAGAACTGTGGTGCTTAAAGAGACCGTGGAGACCACCTAAGCCACTGTTTCACTTTATGGATCAGAAAATAGACCCAGGGAGGGGGGCATAACTTGCACGGGGTCACACGGTGGGTGGGTGGAGATGACCTAGGTCTCCTGATGCTCAACCCAGAATCTGTCCCGCTATGCACAAAGCTGACCTATATTTGTTACCATGTTGTGCATGTTTTCACCATGTTATGAGTGGTTTCTAGATTAGGAGGAGGGGAGAACATGGGGCTTCAAAGACATCTTGAGTTTTGAATAAAGGCCATGGCAAAACTAGGAGAGTTAGGGCCGGGCAGGGATCTGGGTTTGCTGTGCTGAGTGTGTAGTAATGGGGGCACAGTGGGAGTGTTCAGAGGGTACTGGGCTTGGAGATATGGACTCATGCATGTGGAAGAACAAGAGGGGTCAGGGGTGGGGGGACTTGGGCCCCTAATTCCCAGCTCTAGCCTTATTTTTGATCACTCCCCTCACTTCTGCACACCTAGCACCCACCGTTGTTGAGACTCTCATGGGCATCAGAATGGCATCGCTGGCTTGGCAGCTGCCCCCATCACCCACTGCACCATCCATGTGGCCAAGGACACTACCCAGGAGACTCCTGACTTCCTGTCTTCTCTAGAGGGGCACCAGAAGGAGATGATATGTGGTAGATCATCACAACCCAGTCCATCTCTGATCCCAGAAGTGGGAGGAAAAGCACAAAGCACAAAGTGTTGCCAGAAAACTCACGTTCCATCCTCATTGCTTCTGTAAAACACCAAGAAAGGGTCGGATTTCCCAAAGAAATCTTTCTTGTCCAGTTTGTTGGCACAGAACTGCATTGTAGCGACATCCTGGAAGAAGGGAGGGAGAACAGAAGGGTGTGAGGCAGGCAAAGGGTGGCACGGGCTCCCACCCCTGTGGAAAAAGAGCCCAGGATCCTGGAAATGTGAGCATTCCAGTCACTAACACTGGTTAAAAAGGGCAGCATGTTATACTCGCCCAGCACCTACTAAGTGCTAGACTCTAGGCTAACACTTCAGTGCCTCAATTCATGCTCAAACATCCCTATTAAGCAGGTTCAGCAAAGCAGTTGGGTGGTAGGTAAAGCACTGAATTCTGGAGCAAACTGTCCTGGTTTGAATCCTGGCTCTGAAACTTTCCAGGGTGTGATCTTGGGCAAGACAGACAACCTCTTGGAATCTCAGTTTCCACTTCAATAACACGAAGTTCATTCCTTAAAAGGTTGTTGTGAGAACTAAATGAGACCTAGTGTGTGAAGTGACCAGCAGAGTGCTGGCATGTAGCGATGACTCGATAAATGTCCACACACATTATTTCATTGCTATTTTACTCAACACCAGTGGAGGCAATAGTCAAGAAATCAGACGACATATTGCACTGGGCAAATCTGCTGCAAAAGACCTCTTTCAAGTGCTGAAGAGCAAAGATGTCTTCTTTGCAGGACTAAGGTGTGTCTAACCCAAGCCATGGTATTTTCAATCACCTCACATGCATGTGAAAGCTGGACAATGAATAAGGAAGACTGAAGAAGAGTTGATGGTTTTGAGTTGTGGTGTTGACAAAAAATACTGAAAGCACCATGGACTGCCAGAAGAACTAACAAATGTATCCTGAAGAAGTGCAGCCGGAATGCTCTTTGGAAGAGAGAATGACCAGACTTCATCGTCATGTTGTCAGAACGGACCATTCCCTGGAGAAGGATATCATGCTTGGTAAAGTGGATGGTCAGTGAAAAAGGGGAAGGCCCTCAGTGAGATGGACTGACACAGTGGCTGCAATGATGGGCTCAGGCACAGCAAGGATTGTGAGGCTGGTGCAGGACTGGGCAGTGTTTCATTCTGTTGTACACAGGGTCGTTATGAGTCAAAGCAGGCTCTACGGCACCTAACAACAACATTTTACTCACTGGCTCAGAGAATTTACTAATCCAAGGCCACCCAGCTTGGGTCCACTAACCCCAAAGCCCTCATTCTGTTCACACCACCTCAGACACTGTATTGCTCCTAGAGAACGTTCTAGTTTAAGCATCACTTTTATACTCACGAACCCACGAGAGGCCCCACAGCTCTCTAAGTTCACCAAGCAGGGCTGATGTCAGAGTCTATGGGGTCTCTGATTCCCCAGATCTGTCGGTAGTTCAGTACCCTGACTGACCCAACTTGCAGCCAGGAGTTTGAAGAAGGGCGCCAGGCCTTGGTGAGTATCACCAGATCCCTCCCCTCACTCGAACCCCCAACCCCTCAGCTCAATGGATCCCACAGAGCACTAGGCAGAGACACCTCCCTGTCCTCTCCTCACCCCATGTGGTTTCTTCAACCCAAAGGCTCTATATGCTGAATGTTATGGATTAAATTGTGTCCTCCCAAAATGAGTGTTGGAATCCTAACCCCTACAGCCACAGATGTCATCCTGGCTGGAAATAGGGTTTTTTTGTTGTGTTAATTAGATCATATCTGGGTAGGGTGGGTGCTAAATCTAATCACTTCTGAGGTATAAAAAGGAGGTCAGACACAGAGAAATCAACACACAGGGGAAGATGGATGCCATGGGAGGATCTCCAGGGAACCAAGAAATGCCCAGGGCTACCAACAAGGAATGGACATGGCAGACACCATGAGGTTGTTTAGCCTCCAAAAGTGTGAGAAAATAAATTTATGTTCTTGGGGTATTTCTATAATAGCTACATTAGGAAACTAAGACACTGACAAGTCAGCTTCAAACAGCCCAGAGCCCAGATATCCATCCCAGTCCCTGGGCCTGGTCTGCTCTTGAGGGCCAGGGTCTGTCAGGAAGTCACTCAACTCCAAGAATTCCTAACAGACTCTCTCACACACTGCTTTTTCTCACTAGATGGTCTTGGTCTCTTGAGGTTAGTGTCCGGAGCCCAGTGAGGACAAAACAGTGGCAGAGCCTGAGCCCTAGGATGCTGATAAACTTCAGAGTTATCCTTCAAGTACGTCACCAGGTACAGAGTATGCACAGTAAAATTCAGCTTGACCAACAAAGTGACCACCCACCAGAGGCAGTCAAGAATAGGAATCCCTTGCTGGGACTAGAACCAGAGTCCAGAGACATCATGCTCAATAGCCCAGAATAAGTCATGGTAACATCCCAGCAGCCTTCATGCTGGGTTCCATCTTTGTTCTGACAGCTTTTGCAATGGAATCTGTCTTGGCTATTTCTTGCATCCGTACCTGATTTTCATAACCCCACCTTTTCCCCAGAAATCCCCTGCCCACCCTATGAATAAAGCTAATACCTTATTCCACCTAAAACCCTTGGAAATCCTTTGTTCAGTGAGAGACCACAGGTTAGAGCAGGTGAGAGCTCCTCTCCATCTCTCCCTCGCAAGCCCCCTCCCCTCTCCTCTATCTTTAATAAACTTTGGTTCATGTGGACAAAAAAAAAAAAAAAAAATAGTGACAGAGATGGAGATACAATTGCCAACATAGCTGAAGGGCACAGTCAAAAGATTGGGGTTCTTTCTGACCTTTTGATTGGGTGTGGTTAGTACTGTAAAGTGGCTAGGAATATAGTCACTAGAGTGAGGCTGCCTGCTTCAGTCCCATTCCTCACTAGCTAGGGCAAGTTACCCACCCTCTCTATGCCTCAGTTTTCTTATCTGTAAAATGGGATAACAGTAGCACCTACCTCATAGGCTTGTTGTGAGGATAAAATGAATTAATATGAGTACAATGCTGATAACAGTTTATGGCACAAAGTAAGTGTTGTGTGCTTGCCAACTATTATTATTATTTGGACATTTCTCTCTCCCCTCCCCACATGCATCTGACAGCAGCAAAGACAAAGCTTCCCTCCATTCATTCACTCATTCACTCAACAAACACTTAATAGATGCCATGTGTGGGGGATGGTTACCGAGCTCAACACTTTATATCCCTTATTGTATTCACTCCTCAAATAATCCTTCATGACTTTCTACAAACTAGTACGTTGAGGGTCAGAAGAGTTATGGAACCTGCCCAAGATCACCAGTTGGTAACTGTAGAGCAGAAATTCAAACATGTAGAAAGTGATCTCAAGCTCATGCTTCTTCCAGCACACTACAGCACCTTCCTGAGAGACAGCAAATCACATTTCTTGAACCCTGCTTCCCCGATTTGTCTTGAATCTTCTAGGCATGCAGACTCTGGTTAACCTGTGACAGAAATGCCTAGTTAACAGTGGATTCTGAGGATGGCAGTGCAGGGAGCAGAGTGGCTGACACGTTGATGTTCTTGGGTGATGATTGCTTTTATTATACCTGTCATCATCACCCACCTGTGAGGGAGAAGAAGGCTGGACTGGGGGCTTTCAAGGCCCTAGAAGCCCTAAGAATCCTAGAGCCTCCATAGATATCTAAGGCTTCTCCTGAATAAGGGAAAGGTTGACTTAATGAGCACTTACTAGATACCAGGCACCGTGTTAAATCTCTATACATACATTATTTCCTTGACTCCTCATAATAAGGAGCTCTAGTGGTGTAGTGGCTTGAGGCATTTGACTGCTAACCAGAAGGTTGGTGGTTCAAACCCACCAGTCACTCTTCGGAAGGACAATCAACTTCCGTAAAGATTTACTGCCTCAGAAACCCAATGGAGGTCACTATGAGTTGAAGCGACTCAATGGCAGTGAGAGAATTTGTCTTCATAATAGTCATATGAAGTAGCTCCTCTAGTCTCCCTATTTTACAGATGAGGAAGCTGAGACTGAGAGGTTAAGTCATTACCCAAACTCACACAGTGAGTAGACTTCAGAGCTTTTGCTCTTACCCTCCCAAAAAGATCTCTACCTTCTAGAAAGTCCATTCCAGGCACTGGAATGGGCAGGCATTATGTTCTTCCCTAAAGAAAGTTTCAATTCCATCCCATGCTGGATGGAGGGAGTATTTCCCTGGGGAGCTCCCACTCTTTGGCCTTGAGAAGCAAGAAGTCTTAGGATGGGTAGTTTCTTCCTAGGACTAACTACATAATTTGTGGGGCCCAGTGCAAAGCGAAAACGTGGAGTCTCTTGTTTAAAGAGTATAAAGAATTTTGATACGGTGACAGCAGAGCATTGAAGCAAGCACTGGGGCCTGCATGACTACACAGGAAGCCAGCCCTGGATCCTCCACCAAGAGGCAACCTTGCAGTGGCACAGAAAACCACTGAAAGAGGACCAGACTCTGCTCAGGGGTATCACTGGGGACAGCCCAGCAAAGAATCCAGAGTTCTAAGTTCTAGTCCCAGATCTGTGTGACCTTGAACAAGTCACTCAAGCTCTCTGTGCCTCCGTTTCCTCATCTGTAAAGTGAAGTGCTGGATGGGGTGATCACAACAGTCTTTTAAGCTGGCCAGTCTAGGATTTGGTGCTGATGCCAAGTGGAGCCTAATAGTGGCAGCCAGGCAGTGCTAACACAGCCAGTCTTATGGGGACGGCTGGCACTCAGGGAATAATCTGGAAATCCAGAGTCACTCCAGGCTCATTAGGACATGCCTTGGTTATTATCACAGTGACCCCTCACTTACCTGTAGGTCACCTATGAGACACTCTCATCTAAATGGACATGAGAGAGCCACCACGACATTCTCAACCTGCACTGCTTCACTATTAAATATGCACATATATTTGAAACAACCAAAATGGATGTCACAAAATCTAGAGCCAAAAACTTTTATTTTTGCCTCCTAGGAGAATGTCTCAGGGCCCCATGGGATGAGAAAGGAAGGTAGAAATATTAGAAAAAAATAAATGCAAGAACTTAAAAGATCAGAACTTCTGGGTCCATTCAGTCATCCACTGGGTCATTGTGGGCCCAGCACAGTATTGGGCACATGGCAGAGTAAATGAC